CCCCCAGGGGGGCGACTTCCGAGCCATTAAATCCAAAAAGTGAAGTGTGAAGAGGTGAGAGTTCAATGTCGAGTTCCATGCGTTTAAGGCAATCGAAAAAGATCACATTCGCCGAGCTTCCTGTGTCGACAAAGATTCTCTGAACTTCGTAGCCCGATATCTGGGCTGTGATCATCAAGGCATCGTTATGAGGTCTCTCAACTGCTCCCATGTCTGCTGGTCCGAAATTCATCACTGGACCCTCTTCTTCGACCTGCTGCACTTCAGTCTTTCCGTGATGCCCTCGAGCGTATGCTTTCCTAGCCCGGTTTGAATCACCATCGGTTGGCCCTCCAAATATCATATGAATTACTCCTCTTTTTTGGGGAAGCTCTTCCTTATCGGGTGTTCTCGCCCTTTTGTGAGGGCTTTTGCTCCTCTCACTTCGTCGACTGGGCCGTTCTCGATCTTTATAGACAAACTTCTTCAGATGGCCTGCTTTGATTAGTCTCTCAATTTCATTTTTTAAGTGCCGACGTTCATCGGTGTTATGGCCGTAGTCTTTGTGAAATCGACAATACAGGTTACTTTTAGGCTTTGTCGGCCCGTCCTTTCTCGTTTGTGGCCACCTAACAACGTTGTCACGGATCTCTCTTTCCATCACCTCCAGTATCCTTGCACGCGAGGCCGACAGGGGAGTATATTGGGCTGTCCTCCATCCCCTTGGTCGCCCCTCTCTCTCGGCTCTTGGGGATCCTTTCCTTTCAGTCGTCGCGACAAGCTTTTTGTCCTTCTTCTCGTCCCGAGGCTCAGTTTTCTGCTTAGCCGCTTGCAGAAAGTCGGCTTCGGCTTCCTCGACATTCATGTACTTGGCGCACCTTCCCAATACTTCATCGAACGTTCTCCCGGGCCGCTTCGCTAGGGAATTTCTGCACAGTCCCGGGAGTAGCCCTCGAGTGAGTCCTCCCGACTTGATCTCCTCAGTGGCCGAGGGGACATCGACACATGCCCTTGTGTACCTCGCCACGTAGTCCCTCAGTGATTCCCCTTCCTTCTGCTGCATACCTATCAGAGTAAGTTACGACTTTTCTTGGGCTTTCACACTTGCGAATTGGTTTAGGAAGCTCGAGCTAAACCCATCGAAATCCCTGACGGCCCCCGGGGGCAATTGGTGAAACCAATCCTGCGCGGGCCCTCGCAGGGTCGTCAGGAATGCTCGGAACTAAACGGGGTCGTTGTATCGGTGTAGTACTACCATGTTTTCGAAGCTTCTAAGATGTCGGGAGGGATCAGTCGACCCATCATACCAGATATTAAGCTCCCTGAAGCCTTGAGGTAAGTCGGCATCTAGAATATGTTGTGAAAAAGGGTGTCCCCTTGAGCTTCCCGTCTTCCTTCCTTCGACCCGGGCCTGCAAGTCCCGGACCTGCGCTAACAGCTGTTTCAGCGTGTCGTTTATGGCTTGTGGATTGACGGTTCTGATAGAGGACTCCTCCTCGTCTATCCTCCTATTTTGCCTTTCATGCGATTGTGTCTGCTGTTCGCGCTCAGGGGGCTGCTGTTCATTTTGGGGTTGTTTGACTCTCGCTTGTTCGATCCTGGGCCGCTCGACCCTTGGTTGTTCGACTGGTGTCCGTTTGAGTTGGGCCGCCACTGCCTCCGCGATCATTCTCTGCATCTCGCTTCTCGTCATGGTCAGCGTTTGTTCCTCGCCTTGGGGCGGTGGCCTTGTCTCCTGGTCGAGTCGCCCAGGCTGCCTCCCCATCCTTAGAGAGATTTCGGTTGATGCGTGATCACCTGTCTCTCCGCTTGTGTCCCTCACGTGGCTGGCCTCCCCCTGCGTGAGAACCGAGATCTTGACTCCGGGTGGGGTAATAGGCGTCTCTTCTCCCGTACGCCCTCCTGACGGCGCGTGTGCCCCAAAAAGTGGGAATCCCAACACCTGGAGCGGTGGTCTAAAGCTGGGAATCGGCGGAGGTCGCTTGTCCGTCCATGTTGCCCTGAAGTCCTCGTTCAAGTTTTTCTGCACTCCTTCCTTCTCAGCCATCGGAAACAGATCCAAGCTAGGTGTAAAGCTCTTAATTCCTTCAAGAGCTCCCCACAGACGGCGCCAAATGATGGGTTTCTTCTCAGATCTGGAACGGTCCAATGAGAAAACGTCCGGATCTGGGACGAACCGGTATGAATGAGCTTAGATCTGATGTGATGGCGCTCGAACCGTTGTTGTTGAGCCGCAAGAACACCTGCAAGAACTCAACGCCGATATGAGAGAGATGATGAGAGCTGCTATGAGAGCAGCAGCAGTAATGGAAAGGGTATGGAATGAATGAGAGTTAGGGTTTTGGGCTTACCTCAGTCCTTTTTATAGAAGTACAATATTTACCTGAAGTCCCAAAGTGCCCCGGCCGACTCAATGGAAATGTCCAGAATACCCCGGTCGGTTCATATTCTGCTTACTTCCTAGTCAGCATCTAGATCCTTCCTTAGCTTTCTTCTTATCCTTAACTTCTTCTTCAATATGCTGAGGTGTGTCAAAGCTATCGGGAACCACGAACTGCAAGACTCCTTCAGTCGACTTGAGGTATTGAGTCGAGTCGACTGGATCGCATCCCACCGTTAATGGACCCTGATACGTCTGATCGCAATCTCGGCAGAGGTCGACTCGTTCTAGTCGACAGGTGTACGTTGACTCGGTCGAGAACCGGGCTTCTTGATTGAATACCGTGAAAACCCTACTGGCGGAGTCGACTGTGTTGTAATCGACTTGGCAGTTTCGAACTAGATGATATGAACCGTTATAAGCCAATTGTGGCAATGCCACGGTTACTGAACCGTTACACGACAGTATGGCTATATCAAATATTATTTTTAAAGAGGAATTATAGATAAAATAGGTTGAAGTTGCTGGCTTTGTACTGTTGAACTAGTGGAATTTGCGGAATTTCTCCAACTCTCAATTAGCACCACCAACTAGGGCTGAGCACGGGTCTTGGAGATTACCGAACCATACCAAAAACCGAACCGAATTCACCCCGAACCGAAAAATATCCGTTGACCGTTTGACTATCTCCGAACCGAACCGAACCGAATTTATTTTCGGTATGGTTCTGGAGATTCATAAAATATCCGTACCGAGAACCGAACCGAACCGAAAATAACCGTACCGAACCGAGGAACCGAACAAGAACCGTTTAAATTCATATAAATCCACACACATATATATATATATATTATCTTATTTTATCATATGTATTTTTTTACACTTTGTACATTATTTTATTCAAATAAAATCTATATACATTATGTATATGTCCATAAAACTACCATAAGTTATATGTCATATTGAGTTGCGAAAAATCATCCACTATTGAATGTTAATAGAATTTGAAACCTAAAAGAATAATTATTTTATTTTGGTACTACTTATGAGACACTAAAATCTAAAATCTCGTTTTTGAATTAATTGTTTGAAAAGAAAATTAAATTAATATACTCTTCCTATTACAAAATTTGATAGCCAACATGTCAAATATTTTAGTAAGAAAATCATTAAATATAACTTAATAAAATTATAATACCAAGTATTTGGAAACCGACCTTTATGAAGTAAGTCTTTCCCACAACTTGGAGAAAATTATTTATTTAAAGGTGATATATTCTAAAATAAAAATAAAATGAAAGATATATTTACCATAATATTAGATTAAGAACGAATATATCGATTATTTATTAATAAAATTAATTATAATTTAATAAAATCAAATATCTTCAATTTTCAAAAACAAACTTTATATGTGCTATATCCAAATCTCACAATATCGGCCGGGAGATATTAATTTATTTGGACAAAATATATTTCTAAAATATTCTTTTATTTAACAAGTAACTATATTTAAATTGATTATTGTTCATGTACGTCTTACTACATGCGGATTTTTTGGCATATAAACGTTTATCATATAAATATTTCAAATTATATTATGATATTTTGCAACTAAAACATTATTATCACTTTTTGTATAAAATAAAAAATATTTTAACCACCTATTCTTACTATTAATTGACAAATATCTTTTGAAATTAAGAGAGATTTATGATTTGCTTTTATCCATGAAATGTACCATCTAACACGCAATTAAGAGATTTTACAAAAAAAAAAAAAATGAAAAAATCTCCGAAATCTCCGAAATATCCGATCCGTACCGAACCGACCCATTGGAACCGAATCTCCGGACCGAACCGAACCGACCCGTGCTCAGCCCTACCACCAACAACTCCCTGTGCATTCCCTTCTTTCTTACCACCACTCTCCTCTTTCATCTCACCACCGTCACCCTTTCGGATTCTGATTTTGTACATGGCCTCGAATTCCGATACTTCCTTTTTCTTCTTCTCCAAGGACTCGGTAAGCCGAGCAATCACCTCATCCAGGCCTTCTTTATTCCGCTGGACAGCTGGCAAAACTTCTTGAATTGTTCGCTCGACAAGTACGCTCCCAATCATACGGTAGCACCTCCTCGATGGGTCGAGCGGCTTAATGGCACTCATCACGAGCGAATGCTCACTGACCTCCATTTCTAGTTCGGTGATTTTGGAGTAAATTTGGTTTATTTCGGTTCTCGTGGATGCATATATGTTGGCAATGGCTTGCTCGTTCGGTGGTTCCTTGTTCCCACCTTCAACTCGGGCCATGATGTTAATAATAAATCTGAAGACGAAAAGAAACAGAGCTGACCAGTGGCGGAGCCAGGATTAAAATCTACGTATGGCTAACCTATCACGAAAAGAAAAAGAAAAAAAGCAAATACCCAGGCTCGCCTATATGTAAATCCGCCCTTGCACTGGGGGGGTGTTCGCCGGCGGCCAGTTATGGCGGCCGCCATGCCTCGCCATACTGGTGGCTCCGCCACTGAGAGCAGACATATTATACGTCTATAATAGTCACGAGCTTCCTCACAATAACATTTTAAGTACACAAATAGTCAATTATATGCTTGATATAAACGAGTTGCATTATCTTGATAAACCATTTACGAATAATTGTCCTCCTGATGAAAATGGAAGTTGATGAAAGTTTTAGAATCAAAGAAAAATATCTTTTTAGGCTTCATTTGAACAAATACTAGCATAAACACCACCTTAGACCCACCATAACTGTATAATTTCAAAGAAAAGCAAAATAAAAGAGCAAAGATTCAACTCATGCACAAATAAGCAAAACAATGAGCAAGAACTGTAGCAATTTCACAAGTCGGTCAATAGATGAACTTGCATCTAACGAGAATAGACGGAAAATCCGAACCTAACTCAATAAACATCACACACGCACATTTGACAGTTAACTTACTTTGAACAATTTACACTAAGATTAACTTAACTTTGACTCGAAACTAAATATTTTACGCGAAACAACCAAGAAATTAGCGGAGAAAAACAATGAATACCAGTATTAGTTTCTTCTGTTGCTCGATAGGTACCATGAAGTGTTCCTCTGTGCCAAGCTCACAATTAAAACAAGATTCAACTATCTTACATAGCTTTTCCACAGAGACACAGAAATACAATTCATAACAAAGATCTCCAACTTTATGGCAACTATTCTTACTTATCATTCCTATCCAACATTTTTTACACCGATTTTCAAATATCGACGATAACGTTAACGAACATAATTAATGCACCGAATAGGCAAATGAATAATCACCAAACAAAAAACACAAGAAGTATGTGGACTACATGCTGTCAAATAGTCTCAACACTACTTATGTAACAATTACATTACAAGCTGTTAAATGGATACTTCCGTACAAAACAAAAGCAGAAAAGTTTTAATTTAGGATCTACAATTGGCCTTCTGATGTAGGGGAAAGCTTACGAGTGAGAAGGATAAACGAGTAAACGAAATACTCACTCTCTCGTAAAACACGTAAATTTCAACAATATCTTTTATTCATTCAACTTCAACTATGTCATAACAAAGTAGAAGAGCCCTTTAAATAAGGCTCCTAACCCTAGAGCTTAACTTGTCAAACAAGACAAGATCTCTTATTAATATTAAACAATAATATTAAATCCTAACTTATTCTCTAAGACACTTATTAGATATAATAATAATAATAATAATAATAATAATAATAATAATAATAATAATAATAATAATAATAATAATAAAAATAATAATAAATACTAATCTACACCATTCTCCTCCGGTTCGGAAAGCTTCGCCCTCGAAGCTGATGCGCTCTCCTGGCCGGCGTGTGGTGTCGAACTCATGGGAACCATCGTCCTACGTTTCCCCCGATCGATCACGAAAATTGAATGTCTCCCAACGTCCACTCTAGCCGACCCACACAATATAGGACCGTTACTTCCAACCCAAATACCCCCGGGCATCATAAAATTAATTGAAATTCAACACCACCTTCAAGGAGTATGAAACATGGAGTAAAATATGACAAAACTTTGTCAGACTCGTGCCCATGTAATTCTCTATATTGCACAATGCGGCCACCAAGAATCGCATCAAGTTCAACGATATTAATAGCAATAATTCCAGCTTCATCCTCCGGCCTCGGAGGCTCCTTATCAAAAATCGGAGGACCGTCGTATAACGGTCCGTCATGTTGGTTTCCATCTAAATCGGGAATGACCACGCGAAACGGGCCCTCCAATTGACTATATTCGCGATCAAGTCCCCAATCGCGTCGAACCCGATATCCGCCGGCGAAGACAGCCTCCTCGCGCCTGCCTTTGTCGTCGCGTTGATCGTAGCCGTCCACGAAGCCGTTCAGAGGTGGCGGGGACCACTGCCGGGGCGCCCCGACATGGTTGCTTCCCCCACAACCGCCTCTGTCTCCCCCGCGAAAGCCACGGCCCACAGCTCCATCGCGGTTCGTTTGCAATTCCGAAACAACCACGTTGTTAAGCATCAAATGCGAATCCTCGATCCCCGTCGAAAGATCGGCAAACCAATCCGTGAAACGCACGTCCAACTCTTGAAATCGGTAGTCAATCTGTTGAAACCGATCGTTGAATGTTGCATCACATTGTTCGTTTGCGGCAGCTTGTCGTCCCGACGGCATCGCGAATCGTACTTACTGCTGATACCAACTGATGTAGGGAAGCATACGAATGAGAAGGATAAACGAGTAAACGAGATACTCTCTCGTAAAACACGTAAAACGAGATACTCTCTCGATAAAACTCACAATCAATTCATATTCTTATTTCATATTCAACTTGAGATAACAAAAGAGGGGAGTCCTTTATATAAGGCTCATAAACTTTAATCCTAACTTGTCCAACAAGACAAGAATCCTAACAATACTAACTTGTCTAACAAGACAAGAATTCTAACAAAAGTGATAAATAATAAGTTTCCTAATAATAATAATAATAATAATAATAATAATAATAATAATAATAATAATAACAAGAATAATAATAATAATAATAATAATAATAATAATAATAATAGATTCTAAACATCCTTATCTCAATCACCTTCGTTCAGAGGTAATGTACATCACAGCTGCTTCATAACTCAGGAAAAAAAAAAGTAATAATGAATGCAAGACTGGGGTTCGTGTTTCTACGAAAAGGGGAAAAAATAGAAGGCAGAAGTAGACATGGCCAGGTGCCGGGTTTTGGCCCGGCCCGACCAGGCGGGCCACGGGCCAGCCAACCCGCGAACTGCAACCGGCCCGCCAAAAACTAAGGGCCGGTTCATAGAACCGGCCTGAACCGCCGGTTCATCGGCCCGGCGGTTCGGGCCCGGGTTCGGCCGTTAAAAAAATCAAAGGATTTGGCCCGGCCCGCCGGGACAAAACAAAAAAAAAAACCGTGATCCTTAACCGGACCGGATTGGCTGAGGTCCGGTTCTCGAACCCGACACTATTCATGCCGGTACCGGTACCAGGCCGGGCTGGGCCGGTATTGGGTCACGGGTCGGGCCACGGGCCGGGCCGCCCGTGGCCATGTCTAGGTAGAAGCAATGGTTATTACCAATATGTTTTGTGAGAAGTGCAGCAGGCTGGTTGGTGAGTTTTGCGTCAAATACGTTGATAAAGTTTTAATGTATTATAACAACTTACTTAAATTCTCTAATTTTAAATTAGTTGTAAATCAATATTTAAGGAGTGATATAAACTATATCGTAATCTATGGGTATGTATGGTTCAAATAAGGGAACGGGCGGGGATGGATTTTAATGAAAGGAAGGTAAGGAGAAGTGATGTAAAATAATTTTATCTTGTTTGGAGAAATTTTGTAGGAGGTGAATGGAGGAAAAATAGTAAACTTGTTTTGTTATAAAAATAGAAGGGAAATAAAATATTGTAAAAATGACAGTTATATCCTTAGTGATGTAAGAAACAAAAAAAATTATAAATTAAGGTCAAAAGAGTAATTTTATTGTTGAAAATCTTCTCTCCCCTCCAAATTCTCCCACTTTTGGAGGGGAGAGTTTTTTTCTCTTGGAGGAGGGATTTGAAGGGAAAATCTTAACCCACCTACAAAAAATTAAACCAAACAACCAAAAAATGAAAAATTCCCTTACCTCCCCTCTCATTCCCTCTGTTTCCCCCGAACTAAACACTGTGTAAGGGTGTAATTGTTTATAACTATAATATTGATATTTTATTGTTTTTTTTTTTTTTAAAATGGTATGATTAATTGTTAGTGGAATTTTAAGTTTATATTAAAATAATGTTTAACATAAAATAATTAAAAAGTAATTTGATTTAAAATTAAGAAATATATGATAGAAACTGACATATAGCTAATTTATGTGAGTGGATGAATTTGAATTGAAGTTGATATGATGTGTAATTAATTATACTGATAATATTGGTGTTGAGTTAGATTTTGAGTTGATATTGATTTTTTTTAGATGAACGGTAGACAAGAAAACCCTAAATGTTTTATAATTTATAAGTGAATAGGCCTTGATGTTCAATTTTATATAATTTTAAGAATAAAAAATGGAAAACAACATATTTGTTAATAGTTGGTTATTGTATAAATTTTTAATGAGACCTTTAGTGTATGCTTGGATATTAATTTCGTAAAAAAAATTAACTAATTATCTTTTTTTTAATTAAACTTTAACTATACCATACAGTCTTTACTATTATCAATATAATTAAATAATATCACTTAATTATTTGGTAAGACAAATTATATATACTATAAATTACTATTTAGTCACTCATAAAATTTTAACTAAATATCACTTTACATTATATCTCTCTTATCTTTACATCACATTAATTATAACTATTTTATTTTACATAATAATTTAAAATAAATTAAAATTTCACTATCAACTAATCAATCGTTTTTTAAATAAATCCTATAAAAATAAATAGTTTTGAGCGTATATTTTTATCCAACCACGCCCTCAGCCTCTTGATCCAAAGTTGAGGAGAGTAGCCGCCATTTTTCACAACTCAACTCCATTTTCTAAAACCCTAGCTCTGAAAATCCCCAATCTCCAAAACCCCGCCATGAGGCCTCTCGACGAGAACGAAACCACCCTCGTCTTCAACAAGCTCCACAAATTCGTCGGCAACAATCTCAAGAACATCGTCTTAGATTCACAATCCCACGAAGGGCCCGAATCGAATCCGGGCCGTTATTGCTTCCGTCTTCAGAAGAACCGCGTGTATTACGTCTCCGAATCCCTGGTCAAGCGCGCCACCAACGTCAAGCGCGAGAAGCTGATTTCGCTCGGAACCCAAATCGGCAAGTTCACGAAAGCCGGGAAATTCCACCTCACGATCCAGAGCCTCAATCTCCTGGCCGCGAACGCCAAGCACAAGGTGTGGCTGAAGCCGACGTCTGAGATGAGCTTCTTGTACGGGAACAGCGTGTTGAAAGGCGGCTTGGGTAGGATTACCGAGAGCATTCAGGTGAATGACGGTGTGGTTGTCTTCTCGATGGCGGATGTGCCGCTCGGGTTTGGTGATGCCGCCAAGAGCACTGTCGATTGCCGGAAAATGGATCCTAATGGGATTGTGGTGCATCGTCATGCAGACATCGGGGAGTATTTAAGAATGGAGGATGATCTGTAAGTTTTATTTTTTACTTTTTTTTGGGTGAAATTATAAATTGGGGGAAATGAGATAGTTGATGCAGTTTTTGAGAAGTTTGAGTTGAAGTTTGTGGACCTTGAATTAGTTGGTGCAAGTTCTTTTGGTGTTGTGTTTCCATGTTAAGATAAGTTGTTCCCTGTTGTGTTATTTTTATTTGGTATAATCTCTATAATGCCTGGCTTTCAAAGTTTGATTTGCAAAAGTCGATGGTATTCGAAGTTTGATTTGCAAAAATCTTGATGGCGCATAGTATCGTAAACGTTTAAATCTTCATGAATGATTTTGGCTGCATATTTTAATGTCTTTTTCTTGAGATGAGCAAGGGGATTCAGCTAATTGAGGTGTAGACTAAGGACCATCCGTCGGGCCTGTTGATTTCATATGTGGCTAGATTTCAAAAATTTGGATTCCACTTGGGTGAAACATAGTTGAACAAATTGGGTCTGGTTTGTTTTATTGCTCGGTTTTGATATGAATTGCAATTGCGAAAACCACAAAGTGAACGGCCCTGGTGAGCTTAATCACCTGATTTTCCCTTTCGACCTTTTTTCCATCGAGGTTTTCTTGTTGTTTACCTTGTCCCTGGAGTTGGCTATCACATGGGACCTCAAGCTATTGGTCGACCCTCTCATTATGCCCCACAGTCTGAACTATCGTGTTCTTCTCCTAGTTTCCCCCCGTTATCCTCTCCTGAGGGGGACTAAAGGAATCCTGCCTCATGACAAGTCACACAACTAGGTCCATGACCGGCGTTACATTCGTGCGCTGGCCCAACAAACCAGCGTTACATTCGTGCGCTGGCCCAACAACTTGCCCTTAGAGTGACCTGGGTTGTATCTTTTGAACGATTGGGTGGTTGTCTTTACCCACATTCTTGTGACACCCAAGCTTCTTTCATGTCCTTACTCAAATTCTTCTTCGTGTTGTCCTTGACAATGATCTCGAAGTCTTGAATAATTTTATGAAAAAACCAACTCCTTGCCAACCAATAAAGGCTAGATTTTCCCACCGACGACGTCAATTTGCTGCATAGATTGCCTTCCAATCGAATTTGGACCAGCACAGCCACGAACCGTTTTTCGTCTTGAGCTTCGATGGTCTACAAAACACTCCGTAGAGGGTCCAGATAGAAAACCTCTTACATGTCAGATCTCGCTTATGAATATGGTAAAATTTTGACAGATAAGGGATAACTAATTGCTAGAATTGAAAATTTTATAGCGTAAAAATACCAAGAAGTTGATAGGATCTTATGAGACAACGTCTCATAACCTAAACCATAGGAATTTAGGGAGTTAATTGTTTTTCTTGAGATCGAGAGGAGATAGATAGAAATTAATCTTCGATATAACTTGTTCGAGAGAATGATTAAATTAATTTAAATATTATCTCCACGAGTGGTACAATTAAATAGGGTTTGGATGAATTTAAACGTTTCGTGAATAAATTCCGAGAAAACTTAGTCTAAAATCTATTTTCATATCTTTTTTGTTCCATAATTTATATCAAATCTATATTTTATTAAATAAATTTGTAGTTTAATTTCTTAACTTAAATCCATTATCTAAGTTCGTTAGTATATATGATATTTAATCGTCATTTTATAGTATTTAATTAATAGGTTAATTGCTAAATAAACCTTAACCTTTTTGCGTTTGACAATTTTATCTCAAACTTTGGGTAATTGCAATATAATTTCGACCTCAATTTACTTATTGTAAGTCGAACCTAAAACTGGTTGGACCTTAAAAAAGCTGGTCGATTTGAAGGCGGTTCGAACATATCGGAGCTCATATTTACTGGTTCTCTCTAGATCTAGGAGGAGACTCATCATCGGTGGCTTACATAGACGTGGAATTTTTGGCTTTGTGAGTGGATATACGTTAAATACATGAAAATTGTCAACCTGCTACGTGGATGACATAAAAACCCGTGTCAAGTCAATGGAAGACTTGTACACAAAATCGGTCCACAAATCCCTAAAATCAATCACTCTGCACCCAAATTTGCAAGAAGTAAAATGAGGTCGAGATTTATTTAGCAATTAATCCTTAATTAATTTAACTTTATTTTTTGTTAAAAACAACTTTCACAATCTATAGTACGTCGTACACTTGTAAATAACACAAATAAATTACGAAGAATTTGGGGATGTTGGTACCTCTTTGTTTCTTTATATTTACAGCATAAGAAATAGTAGGAAAGACTAAGAAGTTGTTGTTTTTAATTAAAAAAAAAAATAAAAAATTGACAGTTTTAGTAAATTATAGAAACCGAATTGATTTGTAATTAAAACCAATCACAAATCAATTCTTTTGTTTGTTCAGTTAAGTGTTCCCGAATAATTGGTTTGGTTTGATTATTCTGCCGTTCTGTTCGGTTATCGATGACACCCCTAGAGTTGCTTACTAGAGTTTCCTAAGAGATGTTTGGATATAAATTATTTTGGTTTTGTTTGAATTTTTTGGTTTGATATGGTTAATTTTTTTTTTTTTAAAAAAAGTGACATGGTTAGTTGTCACTGTGGTTTTAATTTATATTAAAATAATATTTTAAATAAAGAAATTAAAATTGATTTGATGTGAAAGTGAAAGAGATATAGCGTGAAGTGATAACTAAAAGTATGCAAGTAGATAAACAATGAATTAAAGTTGATGTAATATGTAAGGGATATGCTACGGTCCATTACGGAATCATTTCATCGGAATTTATAACCGTTAGATCATCATGTAACCGTCGTGGATAGTTGATCTAACAGTTCATAAACCCTGACGGAATGATTACGTAACAAGACCGTAGAATTTTTCATTTATATTATTTAATTATATTTGATAATATCGAGGATAGTAGAGTTGGTTAAAGTTGAATTATAAAATTATTGGTTAAAAATAAGCATCCCTTAATCAACTTCGTGGGCAGAGAAGAAAAACAATTTCAGAAAAAAAAAAAAAAAAAAAAAAAGTTAAAAGCACATTTGTCTAATCAGGTTAATAAAGTACAAGCACCTTTTCACAGTCTTATCAATTTATATTATGATCATAAGTAATCAAAAATTACTTAAGCACAAAAACAATTCTACGTAGCCAACCAACAGTACCACTATCGTGGGCCTTGGCACACCTAGCTAGGTGTGCCAGGGCATATTCGCACGCGCCTCTTTACTCCCCAAAACTCTCTAATACTAGAGAAATTTGGAGAGTGTAGTTCACATCCTCAATTTTCCATTTTAATTGAAAAATGGGACATTTTACATAAATTAAAATATCATTAATTATTTATATTAAAAAATAAAATAAAAATACCAAAATTCATAATTTTTCATTATCTATAAATAGAGACCACATTTGATAGGTTTTTGAACACAACTAATTTTTCGTTTTTTCATAATTTTTCGTAACTATTTTATTATACTGACATATAATGAACATGTTACATAATAAAATGAATATGTTTTCAAATATGATGAACATGTTACAGATTGTAGATTGAAACAATACATATTCATCTTATTTTGTAACATGTTCACTTTATTGTGTATGTAACATGTTCATCTTATTCTATAACATGTTCATTTAATCATGTAACATGTTCATCTTATTATTTAATATGTTCATTTTATTACGTAACATGTTCACCTTATTGTGTATGTAACATGTTCATCTTATTATATAACATGTTCATTTTATTATGTAACATGTTCATCTTATTCTATAACATGTTCATTTTATTTATGTAACATGTTCACCTTATTGTGCATGTAACATGTTCATCTTATTCTATAACATGTTCATTATATTATGTAACATGTTCATCTTATTCTATAACATGTTATTTTATTATGTAACACGTTCATCTTATTTTAGAACATGTCCATCTAAATTTCATCTGTGAAAATGTAATATTTTCATCTTATTTTATGACATGTTCATCTTACTCTATAACATGTTCATCTTACTATGTAACATATTCATCTAATTATAGATTTATGTCATAATCTTCCAATAAGATAAATTAATTGTAAAAAATGATAAATTAATTGTGTTTAAAAAAATATCAAATGTGGTCTCTATTGTAGAGAATGAAAAAAATATGAATTTTGGTATTTTTATTTTTATTTTTTGATACAAAATATGAATGATAATTTAATTTATATAATATGATATATGAATTTCATTGCCCAATAGAATTGAGACACATGTCCCATTTTTTTAAAAAAAAAATCCTTACCTACTTACCCCACGCACTTTTGGAGAATGTGTATTTCACTAAAGGCCCTAGCACACCTAGCAAGGTGTGCCCTGTATTTGCGGCCAACCAATGTTGATTAACTAGTATTTAGTCCAAGAGTAATGTTATAGAGTCTACTTGAATGACAACTTGAGTTACAACTTAATTGTAAATATATTATTTCTTTTGTTTTTTAAGAATGCAGTTATAGTCATCCTAATTGCAACTTAATTGTAAATGTATTATTTCTTCTGTTTTTTAATAATGCATTTATACTTGGGTGGTAAACCAAGTTGTCATCCATAAGAGTCCACGTTGCCCTTCTTTTTTTTCTTTTATTTGCACACCACCTAGTACAACTACAAGTTTCACCAACAATCAGAGAAAATACAGCCTGCCCTGCCCTTGTCAAGGTCAGTGAATTAAACACACATAAACAAAAGCTACCATTAAAGGTTAGTGGATTACAGACCCATTAAAACAGATATTTTTTTCATTTCCATTTTTTTTTTTTTTTGGATTTTTCGTCATCACGATTATCATTAGTCACCATTCTCCCGCCAGGTGGGCCCCCTCACAGTCACGTCGATCAGTAGTAAGCTTGCTGGTAAGCAGGCGCCATCCCATAAGCCGGGAAGTTCAGGGGTGAAACAGAGTATGATCCAACGATTGCAGGTGCAGGTGCCTCCGGTGAGTAAGCGTACGGTGGGCTCCTGTTATAGACAGCTGGCACAGCAGGATAAGCCGGGATAGGGGAAGGGTATTGGGTGTGAGAAGGGGACCTGATGTACGTTTGAGGAGACGGGAAAGACGAGACATAAGCATTGGTCGAGCGGCCCGCCTTAGCCGGAGGCATTTGGCCCACATTGCTGGCCCGAGTACGTTTTGCAGCGGGGCTGGATGGCCTTTTCTTAATCTTGGCCTTCTCGAGCTGCTCGAGGTGCTTCTTGAGGGTCTCAGGTGGGAACTTGGACTCGAGCTTGTATTCCTCGATGCACTTGAGAACAGCCCGGATGGCAGATTGTTCCTTCTTGGCGGCCATATGCTGTGAGAACCAAAAAAAAAAAAAAAAAGGTGATTAAAGCTGGTTTTAGATTTTTAATATTTATGTTCAGAATCACAAAGTTGCCACTTGGAAACACTGGGAAAAACAGAAGCATAGTTTTTATCTACAACAAGCAAACAATCTTTTATTATTTTCTAGTGCATGTGTGGGTCTGCTAGCAAACACTCCCTTAACAAAAGAGAAAGAGGAACAGGACAATTTAGTCCAGTGACCAATCAAAATCAGGGACCAGCAGTGAAGAGCTAAATGAGAACAAGTGTAGCCCATCAACATTAAACGTTGCCCAGATAAATATCAGAGACACTCTTTGCTTTGCCAAAGAAGTTTTATGTTAAATGAAAATAGATATGGTGATATACAATCTGAAAAATAAATAATTCAATATTAGGAATATAGCAACCAAAGCTCACCACAGCACGGCTCGAATGGTTGGGATCCTCCAAAATGGATGTAGCCGCCTTCTTCGCATCTTTCAGAAAAGCCTTCAGCAAGGGAACAGGCGGGAATTTGTCGGCAAGGCCAACTTCATATGTAAAATGAACAGCATCAACCTGTTGCCCCCTTCCAATTAACTCCTCAATCATATCTGCAAAAAAAGAGGCAAAAGTTAATGAGACACCACTGCAACTTATCATGCATTCAAATGCCACCAATTCATGTTGGTGCTCGTATTTATTTTCCCCTCAAGTTTAAATTCTGTGAAAAAATTGGATGGTCTATATTCAGTGGCTCAGATATAAAAAAGGAAATCAACTTTTTACATTTCGACGGCCTTCTCAACCTACAACTTCTACTGAAAGAACAGGAAGATCGACAGTTCACTTTACTACTACACAGAGTTGCACAATGACTGGTGAAATGATTATGAGACACACACATCTTAACCTCAACATTAACATGTCCCTACTGAAAAGGTTAATGGGTTATAAGTTTCTTTGAATCATCACATTTGTTCTAGTCTAGAACTCTGAAAATAGCACATATCTACTAATAGCAACCATGAAAAGTGCATATATCTGACCTGAGTGATTCTGTACAGTTCTGGAATAGAAAAAATCCAAACTCTCAACTCAGTGTCATAGGCTATAGATCCTAGAGGTATCACTTTCGTAGACTTATACGATACAACAAAACAATTTCTACATGAATGAAGAATCACACTTCAATCCATATGAATGAAGATTGTAGGGATTCTAGGGAAGAAGTTTGTTAGTAAGAGGTCACAAAAATTATTTTTCTTGCATGGTTCCCCTCACACTCAGAAATCTCTCCAAAAAACAATTTCATCTTTTACCAATTTCCCAATAAAATTTACAGAAACGACTGTATCTGAATGCTGCTGATACCCCGAGAAACCAGCCAGCATCCAGCCTTCATTTCAATTATCTTCTTAACAAAATAGTACGAAAATTCCGAACCAAGATCAGCATAATTCTGAACATAAGCTCCACGAAATCACACATGCTGCCATGCATTTCAACTCATATGTTTCCTCCCTTTACTCACCAAGAACAACGAAATTAACAATCACACTTCAAGCACTTTCTAATTATAGATTTCCAACTTCAACTGTAAGCAATTAAGCACTTATATATTCAAACATAGAAATAACCCACAAGAACATTACTAAAATTAGAAGAGAGATACTCTACCGGGCATCTTATCCCCGAGGCCAAGAGAGACGGCCAGCTTGGGCATCTGCTTTCTCCAGGCTGATGCCACGACGAGCTTCATGTACAACTCCATATCCTCCTTTTTCACAATCCCAAAGGTCACTAAATGCTGCAGAAAAGTGTGCACATCGGGCGTCTTCACATTCTCAATCCCACCTCTCTCTTCCAAGCTCCTCTTCCACGCCTCGGCTATCTCCTCCGCCTTCCCCTTGATGCTTGGGGTCACCAGCATCCTCTCCTTACCCAGCACCGGGTCCACCATCACCGGAATCAGAGACTCCAGCAGCAGCACGCAGGCCCACCCCAAATCGCAGCTGCCGGCGCTCGTCGCCGGAAAAACCTCCGAGATGGCCTCGAGGACGAATCTCGGCGGATCCACGCAGGCGGCCAGGGCCTTCGGCAGCTCCGATCTGAACGACTCGATCTCCTTCTTCCGAGAGGTCACGAAGATCCAGAACTCATGCGCCGCCATCCTGTGGCAGAAGCTCCTCAGTTTCATCAGCAGGCCCTCCGAGTCGTCGACCTCCGGCTCCTCGGCAGCGACGGCGACGGACGCCTGGGCCGCCTTGGCCGATTTCTCGAGCGCCGCGAGGGCGATGGACATGGATTTGGAAATGGAGGACTCGCGGGAGTCGAGCGCCAGCAGGGAGTGCTGCGTCTCGTCGTTCAGCGCGTGGAACTTGGCCTTGAGCGCGTCGGATTTCTTGATGAGGTCCTGCTCGAGGGAGGTGAAGTGGTCCGAGAGCTCCTTCCAGAGGAGAGTGCAGCTCGTCATCAGCGAGGTCTGGCGTTGGAAATCGTCGAAACTCGGGGGCGGCGGTGGAGGAGGAGGATGAGTCAACTCGCCTGGATCGGGTAGCGAACCCATGGATGAGAGGAGGGGGAACTGAGTTCGAGTCGGATCACTCCGATTGAGGGAAAATTAAACCCTAAAAGGGAAGTCTAGAGAGAGAGGGGAAGAGAGAGAGAGAGAGAGAGAGAGAGAGAGAGAGAGAGTGATATTGGTGGGAAAGATAAAGTAAGGTAACGTGAGGAAGGTGGAAGGGAATGGTACGGAGATCAATGACGTGGACGATTGGTGACATGTAGGATTTTGTCGGGTAAGGAAAATACTGAGTAGTTTATTTAATTAAAAAAAAATTAACTGGATAAAAAAAATGAGTCTGACCAAAATAAAACAGTCGTATTATCAGAATACGTTTTCTTAAAAAAAATTAATCAATAAAACGTTATTTAAAATGTATTTTTATAAAATGTAGTTTCAAAATACGTTTCTTATTCAATAAAAAAAAATTATCTAAAAAAAATAATATTTTATTAAAACGTATTCTCAGAATACGTTTTACAATTAAATTGTCGGTAAACGTATTCTGAGAATACGTTTTTTACGTTTAATATAAAAAAAAAAATCTCTTCCTCTCCATTTTATTCACGCACAGCAGAGAACCCACAAACAGAAAATAAAAAAGAAGCAACAAGAGCAATTTTTGTTCGTGAAAAAAAAACTCGATCCAATCTTCATTCCGGTGTGAACCGACAACACCGACACGAGTCTCATTTTCGATTAATTCATTCGCACGAGGTATATTGTCTTATCTTTACATTTTTAGTTGTTTGGAGATTGAGAATTGGTATAATATGTTTGAATGTGGTGGTATTTGAAGATTGAAAATTGGTAATTGATTATCGATTATGTGTGTATGTTGAATTGAGGATTGAAATTTTGTGTGTAAATTGTTAATTGTGTATTGTTTGGTTGTTGTTGGGGTTACGGTTTTCGAAATTAGGGTTAGAATTAGGGCTTTCAATTTATCCGAATTATAGATGAATTCTATGTTATTGTTCGATTATGAGTTCAATGGTTTTGGAGGATTATTTGATTTGGGCTTTTTTTTTTTTTTTTTTTTTNNNNTTTTTTTTTTTTTTTTTTTTTTTTGTTGGAGAGTCAAAATTAAGTTTTTTTGGAAAAAGAATTGAAAGTGTTCTTTTGCAACAAGTATAAAATGGCCTATCCCGGTCCATACCTTGTTAATTTGTACTGGCATTTTGGGAAGAAAATGTTAAGCGATTTTGTTTCATTTAAAGATCGTCCGAGTGGTTCATTTATAATTCCGGGGAGGATATCATATGAACAGTTGGTACAGATGATTAATGCAAAATGTCAGTTTGAAGAAGGTTGGACAATTCAGAAGATTACTATGATGATTAGCCAACCTGATGGTTCGTGGAATCCCGCAATACTCAATAACGATAGTTTTGAATGAATTTATTACTTTCCTAGTATGTCCATGGTGTATTTGCATTTATCGTTGCAGGCAAATACACCCGTTACACAGTTTTTCGTTTAAGTAATATTGATTATTATATATATATATACATATATATATATATATATATATATTTGTTTTTCGTTTTTTTATTTTTCTATAACTTAATAGTTATTATTATTATTATTTTTTTACAGTTCAATTGGGTGTCATATAAGCGCCACCTGGACGAGGGTACTCTCCTGGCCCCGTGTACAGAAGGTTCAGACCTCTGGATGTATAGAGGGTGGATCTTCTGTTGGGACATTCGTGAGCAGCACATGACTGATAGGGTCTTCCGTCAGTTCGGGTGTCGGCAAGCCATCCCCGACCCTCCGATCATTAGGGGTTTGGCTGAGTACCAGACACACCACCGAGGCCAGGGAATGACTGGGAGGGCATTCTATGATTGGGTGGAGTATCATGGAGCACTTGGGAATGTTTGGATCGAACAACGAGCCCAACATGTCCTCCCACATTACCCTATGAAGTCGTTCCTTGAGCATGCGCCGGGTTACCTTGATTGGTTTCACTATAGGACTATAAGACTAATCAGTAATCCTGGCAACAACCCGGTGGTCCAACAGGAAGGAGGCTTTCATCCACTGTCCGAGTAGGGGATGTGCAGTGTAAGTGTTAATAAATTGTGTTTTTTTTTTTTTGTTTAATGGTAATAATTTTCAATTTAATTTTCAGGCCAATGCCATGGAGGGGGTTTATAACTTGTTATCGACCCTTGACTTTAATGCACTCACTCCAAAGCAGCAGTCCATAATCGCACAGTCCCAAAACATGTTCTACAGTGGACTGACTGTCGGAGGACAAGAGGTCACGCAAAGGACGTCGTCGAGTCAAGTTCTATCTCAAGAGAGCTACGTCCGACCCCAACCGACGCAGTCGCACCGAGCGAGGCATCGACCTGCTGCCAATATTGGTGGGCGTAGAAGACGCCGTGTCCGCGAACTCGATGCCAACACCGTGCCTGCCGACACCGTGCCTGAGGAACAAGAAGAAGAAGGTCATAATTTTTTACTTAACTGCAATATGATTTTTAAATTAGTTATTTATTTATTTATTGTGAAGTAGAATTTCTGATTTTCTTAAAATATCAATTATTCAGATGCAGAAGAAGAAGCTGCCACGCCCACAGCCTTGTCTTCTTTACAGACGTACTAGCGTCGGATGGGCTCCCGACAGCGCAGACCTCCGGATCAATTCACTCCTAGCAACTATTAGGAAATTTATGGACTTTTTTTTCTTGACTTTTGTGTAATTAAATTTAGACATATTGGTATTTTAAATAAATTATTATGGTTCAATTTTGTTTGTGGAATTGATATATTTTGGATAAATTTTGGTTGTTGAATATTTGGTTGTGGAATCGATTTCGACAAACAGGTGTTCTATTTTATTTCTGTTGTAAAATTGTTGTTTCTGTACAGTAAAACGTATTTTCAAAATACGTTTTAATTTTTTTTATGCAAAACGTATTGTGAGAATACGGTTTCTTTAAAGAAACCGTATTCTAAAAATACGTTTTCCATTAAAAAAAATCACTAAATAATAAATTTTACAAATTTTTTATATATATTTAGAGTATATATATAAAATTTATTTTGAAAAGAAACGTATATCAAAAATACGTTTTAGTAGGTAAAACGTATTTCGAAAATACGTTTTTTTAGTAAACGTATTTTCAAAATACTTTTTAATTTGATTTAATTTTCTTAATCACGTTTTATATTAATTTAATTAACTTAATCACGTTTAATAATTTAATTCGTTTTAAAACGTAATATGGGAATACGTTTTACTTTATAAACGTATTCTCTGAATACATTTTACAATGTAAAACGTATTATGAGAATACGTCTGTTTTATTTTGGTCGACGCCCTATTTTTTTATTTTTGTCCAGTTAATTCTTTTTATTTTGATTTAAATAATAAAATCGAAAATACTGCTTGTGTTGTGACGACAATTTTACAGTTTTAATTTTTTTACAAACATTTTGTTTGATTAACTTAAATAATAATAATATATTTCTAAAAATATATTAAGTTTTATGTTTCATCCGATATCAAATATAAGTCTGCATAATATTAATTATTTTGTATGACTACATACAAAGAATAATCACCACCAACCAACCCCCTTAGTAGCTTTCGAACTTGTAAGCACTGTGAAACGTGATGAAGGAAAAATATTCAGATTTATTGAAAGACACACACACAGATTCATAAAATAGCGCCACCGCCACGTGTATTCCAAGGACCATAAAGGCCAGGGCTAGACTAAGGTCTAACCTTAGTTATGAAATCCAAGGTTCAACGAACGCCCAACCCGTGGACCATAGTCCACCAAGGATTCGAGTTGAGGAGTCCTCCTCATGCAACTATCAAGCCTAGGTCATCCAACCCCTAAAAATGATGCCCCATGTCAACTGTCAAGGTAAAGAGCACGGTCTCACTAATACTCATAGACGCCACACTAAAACCCCTAAGGACAACCTGTGTTGGAATGTCACTTGTGAGTTGTCCCACATTGATTTGATAGGGTAAATAGGCATAACTTATAAGCCTAGTGGGCTACTCCTCCTACTATCAATTGGTTTTGGGATGGAACCTCACTTTGGCTTCATTTGGGCTAACCCTCTTATGGTGCGCTTCACCTGTGTGGGACCGCACTCGTATTGCCCCCGTTTGACATGGTATCAGAGCGGGCCTAATTAGAGACCTGCTAAAAAAAAAAAAAAAAAAGAGAGAGAAGCTACCCGGCCTAGTTGTAGGCGTGGGCTGAAAATTATACCCGGCCTGGTTGTAGGCATGGGCTGAAAAATATACCCGGCCTAGTTAGAGGCGTGGGCTGATGAAGGACTCACAAGTGAGGGGGCGTGTTGGAATGTCACTTGTGAGTTGTCCCACATTGATTTGATAGGGTAAATAGGCCTAACTTATAAGCCTAGTGGGCTACTCCTCCTACTACCAATTGGTTTTGGGATGGAACCTCACTTGGGTTTCATTTGGGCTAACCCTCTTATGGTGCGCTTCACCTGTGTGGGACCGCACTCGTATTGCCCCCGTTTGACAACCTGGTATCTTTTTTTGCAGGCATTCCATCACCAGAGATGGCAAGAATTGTCGGAGTTATACAAATAGTCACAACGAGTCTTCTGGCTAACATTAGGTAATACTTTACTTCATCAAGTTTCAATACGAGTTCAAATGCATATTCCACGTTTAATCACATTAAAGCCACCAGAATCAACCCAAAAAAGAATAAAAATGCTCACGAATAAACAAATAACATACATCTATGGTGTAGAATAGTATTATTATTATTATTATTATTATTATTATTATTATTATTATCTTGGAGAATAAGTTAGGAATTAAATATTAGAGATCTTGTCGTGTTGGACAAGTTAGGAATAATGTTTAGGAGTCTTATTTAAAGGGCTCCCCCATCTATTGTTTTATTCAGTTGAATTTGAGAATGAATTAAAATTGTTCGTATTTTTTGGGAGATTATCCCAAGTTCGAGAGAGTATCTCGTATTCTTCCC